TAATAATAATAATAATAATAATAATAATAATCTAATCAATGGTTGTGAATATTTTTGTGACAACCTGCCCTGCCCAGCTGTGTAAAGAAATGGTATCCATTGGCTTATCCCATGGACAGTTAGCGCTTTCTGTGTGTCAGGCATGTTGCTCCACAGATGGCCCAGCACTCGGTGCTGACGGTCTTGTGTGTGTGTGTGTGTCTGAGTTTCTATGCACTCCAGCGCATTTATTTGAAATGATATATTATGATTTTCCAAAGGAGACCCCTGGTTGTCCTACTACTTTCTCTATTTAAATGATATAGAAACTTGCCCTGGCCAGGTGGCTCAGTTGGTGCGAGTATCGTTCCATATAACAAAAGGTGACAGGTATGATTCCCGGTCAGAGCACATATCCAGGTTTCGGGTTCAATCCCCAGTCGGGGCGAGTACAGGAGGCAACGATCAATGTTTCTCTCTCATATCAATGTTTTTTTCTCTCTCTTTACCTTCCTCTCTCTCTAAAAATCAATGGAAACATATCCTCAGGTGAGGATTAAAAAAGAAAAAAGATACAAAAACTTGGTCAGTAAGGGTTTTACCTCCATTTGTAACTAAAACTATTTACCATGTCAGACATGACGTTTTTTTCCCTCTCTTCCCTGGAAAATAAAGTATGAAAAGAGACAAGATCCTGGAATTGTAATTATTTTTTAATTTGTTGTTTGCCTTTTGATTTCATTTGTAATTTTGGCACATAGAACGTTGTTTAATGTGGCCCATGGAGCAAGAGAATTTCATAAGCATTTTATACTTTTAAATGTATATATTTAAAATTTCACAGTGTGTGAAATTTCAATAAATTTAATATGTAAGTGTATGTAATCAGGCCAATCTAAAAGAAGAGGTTTTCCATAAACAATTGTTCTGGACTCCTAAAACAGTCAGTAGTATATTAAAAATGAAGGCAAGGGGCTAGTTCTAAATCCTAGATCAGCAAACTTCTTCGTAAAGGGCCAGATAGTAAATACTGTAGGTTTTGTGAGTCATACAGCTTCTGTCACAACTACTCAACTCTGCTACCACATACATAAATGAAAAACAAGTTTAAGCAAACACCTTCTTACAAAAGCAGGTGGGCCCTCGCCGGTTTGGCTCAGTGGATAGAGTGTTGGCCTGCGAACTGAAAGGTCCCAGGTTCGATTTCGGTCAAGGGCACATGCCTGGGTTGTGGGCTCGATCCCCAGTGAGGGGCTTGCAGGAGGCAGCCAATCAATGATTCTCTCTCATCATTGATGTTTCTATCTCTCTCTCCCTCTTCCTTCCTCTCTGAAATCAATAAAAATATATTTTTTTTAAAAAAAGCAGGTGGGAAGTCAAATACGCCCCACGGCCACCATTTGTTGACCCCTGTTCTAGACAAAAGAGACTAGAGAGACACAGCAACTGAAAGCAGCTTAAGAGTCTGGATCAGAGCCTGTGTGGAAAGTCAAAAGGCTATGAAATATATTCTTGGGACAACTAAGGGAAATTTAAGTGCATACATACTGGATGCCAGATGATCTTACGGAATTATTGTTAATTTTCTTAAGGAATGGTGAAGAATTTTACAAGGAGCTGGTGGAGATCAACATTTAGTCTTGTGCATTCACTTCATAGATGGCCTAGATGCCAAAAATTAAGCTATTTGTTCTGAAACCATCTCCAAAGTATAAAGAAATTGCAGAACATGAATTGATATTTCTCCTCATTTATGTGTTGGCTGCAGGTCTCTGTTCTCAGCCATGGGTTACTCTGCCCCTTGGGAGTCATTGGTAATATTAGGAGGCATTTTTGGTTGTCACTACCAGGGTGAGGTGCTCCTGACATCTAGTTGATAGAGGCTAAGAACGCTGCTAAACATCCTACAAACTACAGGACAGCACCCCACAACAAAGCACCCCATAGGATCTGGCCAAAACGTTAGAAACCCTGTCATGGATTAGTTGAAGAAACCCTTGACCTGATGTAAAGACAGAAGACTTGGATTCAAGTCCGGCCCTGCCACTTCAAGGTGAGTAACCTGGGCAAGTTGTTTGACCTTTCTTGAGCCTCGGTCGTCTCATCTGTAAAATGGGTATGTGGTCCCTCCTTGCTTATTTCACAGGGCTGCGACAGACCCCTCTGAGAGAATGAATGGGCATGAAAGGCCTCTGTATATGGCACTGTGGTATATACCACTACGTGAGGCCTGAGGACAGAAGCAGTGGAAAGATGCTTTGTCATCTTTATGACGATTAGGAGGCCAGGACATTAGTACCTACACAGAAAAGTATTACCAAGTTGCAGCAGAATCCCTTGGAGGTTAAAACACAGACTCCCGAGCCCCACCCCCAGAGTTTCTAATTCAGTGTTTGGGGGTGGGCCCCATAATTTGGGTTTCTCACCAGTTCCTGGTGATGCTGATAATGCTGCTCCCAACACAGAATTTTGAGAACTATGGTCTTGAGATCCAAACTTTCCTTCTATCAACAGAGGGTAGCAGAGAGCAGCAAATATGCAGTCCATCACCAAGGAAGCAAGTCAGAGGCTGGATGAAATCCTCATCAAACCCCCCAACATTTCAATCTAACAAATAGCAGAAGAGAGAGCTGAAATCATGAATTATTTAGATTTATACTCTCTGTGTGACCTTGGCGACTACTCATTTAACTTCTGCTGAATGGTTATCTATAAAATGGGGGAGTGACGATTAATGTTTGCTGAGAATTAGAACTTCCCATGAAAATTGAAATGTGTAGGTAATAAATTATTCTGGGAATTTCTTATTCTTAGGACTTTTAATAAATGTCTGCATTTTAAACACTTCTGACTCACTCATAAACATGATTGCCCTCATTGAATTTTCAATTGTTTAACAGTTTAGAGGCAGTACTCTCCCTCTCTCTTTTAAAGTCTACCAATAGACCATTAAGTAATCATACTTAGTGGCCTCTTTTTAAAAAATATTTTTTATTGGTTTCAGAGAGGAAGGGAGAGGGAGAGAGAGATAGAAACCTCAATGATGAGAGATAATTATTGATTGGCTGCCTCCTGCATGCCCCTCGCTGGAGATTGAGCCCACAACCCAGGTCTATGCCCCAACCGGGAATCAAACAGAGACCTCCTGGTTCATAGTTCAACCACTGAGCCACACCGGCCGGGCTAGAGGCAGTACTCTCAATGCATTCATTGCATCCGGAATGTATAATAATTCCAAAAGTTAGTGACAAGCTAAGGATAGATGAAAAGATAGTCATCCAGGGGTGACTACCTTCTGATGGGGCTCCTGGTTGGGGAAACATCCTTTAAGAATTTTTTTTAAACAATGGTCTCACAGCTGCTGGAACTGGTACCCTAAAAATTCAGAGGTCGGTTCCCAGGACTCACCTCTTGCAGACTGATCTTCATCCTTCAACCATCCTTGACTGAGCACCAGTATGGCCCAGGCTCTGGTCTGGAGAGGACACAAGCAATGAACAAGAGAAAAGGACTCTGCTTGGAGCTTGGGTTCCAGATGTTAGTGCAGTGAGAGCACCAACCTCTGGCCTGCAGCCCCATCCTGGCCGACCCCACTGACCTCAGCCTCATCAGCAGAAGCAATTCCTCTGCTATTTATAACCGAACCACCGTTCCTTTTGTCCTTGAAATTCTGGAATAAAATTTGCTTTGGAGAGCTTCCAGAGGCTTTGGGAGAATTTGGGTGCCTTAATGGTATTTCAGTACTAACCACTTTTAATTCTCTGTATAATTTTCCCATAGATATCATCATGTCACCTCACTAATCAAAATTTCTCTCATTTACAATGCAACTCTCACTGTAAATTGCATTGTACAGGTTTTAATGATGAAAATTAATTATTAAGACTAGCTTAGTGATTCCTTAATTTTAAGGTGTTTATTAGAATAAATTCCTTTAGTATATTTTTTATATTAAAAAAAGATTAACTGCTTATGAGAATGTGGCAGGAGGATTTTGTGGCTGTGGATAGTTTAAAATTTTTGTTTTTGGAATTAAGTAGAGGAGGTAGTTAGGACTTAAGCCAGGCATCTTCCCTTTAAGCACTGGAATTTCCTCATCTATAAAATGGAGGAAAGGAGAAGAAGAGGGAAACTAGACTGGAAGAACTCTAAAGTCTCTTTGAGTTCTAATGCTTGTGCAAAATGGGGAGGATACTACCCAATTTCCTTACAGTGATGTCGGGAGGATTGTGTCCTAAATTCACAGTTGGCAGTACAGTGTATGGGCCAGATCTGACTCTCTGCCTGTTCTTCTACGCTCTATGAGCAAAATTTGGCATATCTTTAATAATCTTTAATAATAAAAGCATAATATGCTAATTAGACCGAATGTCCTTCCGGACGAAGCCGGGACTGCGAGGGAAGCCCAGGTCCCGGGTGCCAGAGGGAAGCCAGTGCTGGTAACCAGGGGAAGGAAGACCTACTCTTGCACAAATTTCATGCATCAGGCCTCTAGTCTATATACACTGAGTGGCCAGATTATTATGACCACCCATTAGTACTTGGTTGGGCCACCTTTTTCCTTCAATACTGTGACGATTCTTCTTGGCATTGACTCCATGAGATGTTGAAAGGTGATGCGAGGAATCTGCCACCATGCCTGATGAATAGCACTGTCCAGTTCT